TTTATATATTGATTCCTGTATTGATTATTATGAATGGTTTTACTCACCCTGCCTATTTGAATGTTACCTCCACGTGGGTAACGTGCAGATGATCAGGTTTAGCTGTGGATGTCGTTGAGGACTTTTTGGAGTTTTTGACATTTTGGTTGACTTAGAGGGTTTTGCTCTGATAGTGTAACATTGGGTTGAGGTCTTTGAGTTAAACTATGTTTTATTTATTTTTGTTATTTTGATTATGTTGTTGTGTAAGGAAAACTTTGGATTTTCCTTTTTGAGTTCCGCTTCCATTTGAGCAAATTTTGAGTAATTTTGGGAAAACCTATTGTTTACGGAGCATTGACTTTGATTTGAATTATTGAGAAATGTACACCCTTTGAGGTGATTTTTATTATGTTTAAAATATTACTCTGATGAATGTAAATTATTTGCCATTATATTTTTGGGGTAGAACAGAGTGTTACAAAATACATTCCAGATCCGTGTCATGTGATACAAATGGATGATGTACAAGTGAGAGATAACCTGACGGTTGAAACATCACCCATGCAGATAGATGTTTGAGAAATGAAACAAATATGGGGTAAAGAGATTGCCTTAGTGAAGGTTTGATAGGGTGGAACAACTACTGAAAGTTGGACTTGGAAACGTGAAGATCAGACGAGAGAGTCGTATCCAACTCTGTTTTTCTCAGGTAATTTTCGGGGGATAAAATTCTTTTAGTAGGGGAGAGTTGTAACACCCCAAGAATTTAGAATTATTTATTTACGTGATTATTTGTGACTAATTGTGAATTTAGATTTATTTGTATGATGTGTGTCGATGTGTTGTGGGGAAATAAGAGGATTATGGAGGGATGAGTGGAATTATTTCAATTTAAATAATTTAGTTTATATTATTTGGAATTATAATAATAATCAATTAGATATTAAGGTGAAAAGGAGAATAAGGGCAAAGAGGTAATATTCATGAGAATTAGTGAGGGTAAGTTTGGAAAGGCATATTAGGGGTCTAAGGGTTAAACAAGGAAAATAGGAGAGTGGTGGTTTATTTTTGTACGATCGTGAGATTGGAGAAAAACTATGGAGAAAGGGCTAGGGCACAGAGAACCAATGGGGATTTTCGTAGAAGACGCGAAGAAGAGAGATCAACTGCTTGGAAGTGAGATAAGGGGGTTGTCATTATTATTATGATTGATATGGGATTTAGGTATTTGTGGTTTTGTTGGGGTGTTTATGATGAATTTGATAACATGATGATTGAGATGAAATAGATGCTGAAATTGTGATAGATTAATGTTGTAATGTCATGAAACGATTTATATGATGTGTTATCGTTGTATTGTGAAAACGTATAAATTATATGAGTTTGGAACTGAATGAGTAATGGAATCGCATGAAATTGGGGGATGGAGTTGTGCAGAAAACACAACACCAGATTGCTGTTTCGCACGATTCGTCGGGTGAGCCTTCTGTATCGCTGGGTGAAGCAACTTCGCCCAAGAAGCGTCGGGCGAGATGAGGAGCGAAGGATATGGTGATAATAGGGTGCTCCTGGAATTTTCATGGGGGAAAGAGATTCTCCCCAGCTTCACTGGGCGAGTCCCATGCGAGCAGACTGCTTCGTCGGGCGGGCCTTAGGCGAGGGGCAGCAGACAGGATCTTCGAAGTGTCATAACTTGAGTTTCTGAACTCCGTTTGACGCGCCGTTCGAAGCGTTAGAGAGCTAACACGACGAACTATATTTTGGTAGAATAAAACGAGTAGTATGATGTATCACTTCAATATCATTTCTATAAATAAATTATACTTTTATGTAATGAATTGTGGCGATGTAATGATGTATGATGAAATTGTTGATGATATGAGGATATTGTGCCGTACTATGATGTAGAAGATGATAATATGTTGAATGAAGTAGATTACATGCACGTTTGATGTTTATGCATGTTATGTGAAGAATGTGATGGTTATTTACATGAATGATAATGTAATTTGACTAATTGTGGTCGTGATCACTATGTTGTTGTGCATCATGCATTCCTGGCATATTTAGGACTTCGGTCTAGTGATGACGTTAGGACGTTGGTCCAGTGGTGGCCTCAATCCCATTGTGTGAATTGGGTGCTTTTTATGATATACTCCGATTCAAAGTGAGAATCGATCCTATGATGGGGATCTTTGGAGGGATATGATCAAGTGTTCATCAAAGATGTTTGGTACCACATGCATGAGTCATTGTTGTTGCATTTTATGTTATGTGACATTGCATAATTATGAATTGAATAAATTTTAATGACGTGGTGACATAAGTGATATTTTGGTGACGATGATTGATTGATAATGTATTGATGTTGTGAACAACTTAATGATGTGAAAGTGTGAGTATATATGTGTGACGAAAAGTAATAGATGATTTCGCGATATTGTTGTTATATCTACTTTATCTATTCCTTATATATTTTGTAATGATATGCGATTATTCACCCTTTCTCTTGGAACTGTTGCCTCTATATGTGGGTAACTTGCAAGTAATCAAGAAAAACCGTAGGAGTTTGAAGATAGCTTGGAGTTTTAGTTATTTTCGTTAATAGTAGAGGTGTCTTGCTCTGATATGAAACATTGGGTGGGGAACACTTGGGTTGAAGTTTATGTTGTTTTCGTTAGACTTATTCTATGAGTTTTCTATATGATTAGATTTTATTTGAAGATGTGACTTTTGATAATGACGCTATTTTGAGATTATGATTCCGCTGTGAAGTCTAAACTAATTTGTTGATGATAGCGAATAAGTAATTATTATAAATGTTTTGAAAGCCCATGTTACGGAGCAGTATTGTCTATTTAAGATGTTTTTTATGACGATGTGACACCCTTATTGGTGCATTATGTTGAATTATCTATTCTTTTATTCATAAAATGTTTGTGGATTAGAAGGGTATTACAGGAGGCGCTGCGGGTCATCAACATTAGCTGTAGGAGGCGACGACGACACGTCATCGATAGGTACCCCAACATCTGAATGTCCAACATCATCTGTATACTTAACACGTGGGATGATGCGAGGGTGTGATATATAGAGGTACCACTCTAAGTAACCATCCTCACACTACAAGGTGTGCTGAACCGTAACTGCGTGATATCTAATGGCACGATCATAGTTGATGATGTTACTTTGAAACCACCAGTCAATGCCCGTATATGGTATATCTGAATCTGGTCGTGGGATGCTATAAACATAACCATGTTGTTGCAGACACCTCCCAGAAGAGTGTCTAGCAACCATGGTCTCCCACCACATATAACTTGAATATAAAGGAGAGTGTCTAGCAACCATGGTCTCCCACCACATATAACTTGAATATAAAGGAGAGTCATCAAACTCACAATGAACTCTATGATTAGTGTATGATATCCAGATAATATCATCTACAGTCAACACATCTAGCCTCCTCATGTACTCAACAACACCATCGAGATGTGACTAGCTGACCCTTAACCTCCTCGCCCAAGGGGTCTCATACTAGGGAATGCTGCACCCTCATGTCACAGATTGTGGGAAAATGCTCGTATATCAAACACTTATATCAAAACACAGACACAACAAATAATAATTAAGAAATGTTATTTGTAACAATTAAATAAGAAATCAACAACAAATAATAATTTCAAGTATACATGTAACAGACTCAAATAACCAACAAGCTGTATGGTCTCAAACATTGTCACCATCCAAGTGTTGTATACAGGATAGTCAAACAACACACCCCCAAGCCCAACTATAGTGTTGAGGCTATTGAACAACCACACGTATTATACATTGATACAAACACCTGACTTGTCTGCAAAGAAAGTACATGCTACTAGATGTAGCATGTATACCATAACGATAACCTCATAACAACAAGCTGCAACAAGCTCGTCATAACTCCAATCACGCAAATTTCATAATTTTCGGTCAAAAAACATACTTTTTAAAAAATTTTTTTGATAGAACAATAGAAATTTTCGATATCATCTTAAAAAATTCAAATTCACGCATGTGAGAAGTGTATTTCGAAAATGAATGAAAAATTATTACAATAATATTGTCTACAAAATGGAGATGTCAGATTCAAATGAGGAAGCAAGTTAAATTCTCCTACGATTTGAATTAAATATTTGACTTCGAGATGGTCCTTAGTAGGAGATATTAATTTTGCCAATTGTAACTTTTATGTTTTTTTTTCAAATTTTTTTTCCATTTTCGTAGTTAAGTTTCAATGGGCGGTTAATCTCTTTTTATAAATCTTTTTGATTTTTTTTATTCGGGTTTAGAATATCCCGAATACTCTCTTATTGAATTTCTCGCTTAAAAGAAACATATACAATAATTACACCCATAAAATTTGTCATAGAAATTTTATAAATAGAAATCGAAGGAAGAGTAATAATAATAGTAATAATATTAATAATATTAATAGCTACTAATAGTAAATAATAAAATATATATTACATCACACTCTAAGAGAGCACTGTAAAAAAGAGAGAAAGAGAGCACCGTAAAAGAGAGAGAGAGGGGAAGAGACAACTACTGTCTCAGCACAGAAACAGCATTTTTCCACAAATTCTTTCCTAACCTTTTCCTAATTTCCCTTTGTTATACGCATGCTTTCTGTGGCCACTTCCTAATACTATTATTCTATCTTTCTCTTTCTCTTCAATTCAACTTCTTCTCTTTTTCCATCACTTTCATTTCCTTCCTCACTTCAAAATTCCCTTCATTTTGGGGTTTAGGGTATCATCAAACTATGCTTTAATTTTGCAATTCACTGTAATTTGTTATCTATTTACTTGTTTTGGGGGTAAGTAGCTATTGTTTGGAATTGGATCCATGTTTATTGTTTTTGTTATTTCATGATTAAAGTTTGAGTTTTTATGTAATTGGTTCAATTGGGTCTTTTAGTTTGGTGGATTTGGAATCTGGGTTTTTGTAGTTTTGTTAGGGTAGGTTTTTTTTGACATATGGATGCTAAATTTGAGGGGGAAAATCAGTTTTTGTATGAACCAGTAGTGCCAGAGATGAAAGGTGGTGTTGGAAGTGGGAGTTCAAAGTGGGATTTGAATGATTGGAGATGGGATGGTGATCTTTTTACTGCTAAGCAACTTAATTCAGTGCCGACGGATTGTAGGAATCGTCAACTTTTCCCGGTTGATCCCGAGATACCAGAAAATGTTAACAATTTGGCTTCTGGTGAGGGAAGTAGAGAATTGGAGAAGAGAAGGAGGGGTATTTTTGATGAAGGGTTGGAGATGAATGATGATTTTGGTTCTCTTAATTTGAATCTTGGGGGTCAAGTTTACCCTATTATGGAAGGGGATGAAAAAAGTGGTAAGAAAACGAAGATTACTGTGACTACTTCGAATCGGGCGGTTTGTCAGGTGGAAGATTGTAGGGCGGATCTTAGTAACTCAAAAGATTACCATCGTCGCCACAAAGTTTGTGATGTGCATTCTAAGGCTAGCAAAGCACTAGTGGGGAATGTTATGCAGCGGTTTTGTCAGCAGTGTAGCAGGTCAGTTAACTTATAAAACGATAGTTTTTTAACGAGCACAACTCATATTTATGATATGATTAGCAGATTAATTTTTGGATTTAATTCATTTGCAACGTTAGTATGAAATTTTTTTGTGTTCAGAACATTAACTTTAGCACCTTAGTTGGTGCAACTTCTTAAATTTATGACAGGTTTCATGTTCTTCAAGAGTTTGATGAAGGGAAGAGAAGTTGTCGTAGGCGTCTTGCAGGTCATAATAAGAGGAGGAGAAAGACACATCCTGATGTGGCTGTAGTTAATGGAGGCTCTTCGAATGAAGAAAGGGGGAGTAGCTATCTATTGACGAGTGTACTAAGGATACTGTCCAATATGCATAGTGAGTTGTGTCTTGCATTTGTAGTTTAATATTTAGCTGTTACATTGTGAACTGAGATAGTGCTTTTTTATTTATTGTTGTTTTTAAATCTTCTTTGGATTGAGGAGGTTTGATAATAATAAGAATCAATCAAGATGAGTGAAGGTGCTGCATAAATAAATAACAACTTTGTGAGGTCGGTAATAAAATCTATGCTCTTCAGTGCTGCTGTGCGGCACACTTTGTAGCAAAATTGGCGTGCCACAGTGGGTTTTGCAGCCAGAACGTTTTGGCTCAGATCGCGTCTAGGTAGTTAATCGCAGCCAATAGCGGCACAATTTCGGTGGTGTGGAGGAGCTGCCAGTGCTGTCAATTATCATCCATGGCGGTGCCATGGCAGATATCGGTGGAGGTTTTAGGCTCTCCGCCATGGCCCACTGTGAAGAATGGCAGCGAGATGGCGCCATGTGTCGGGTGTTATTGCGGTATTTTTGATCTCTGCAATGGACTGCCAGCCACCATCAATAACATTGGCCGCCGCTGGTCGCTACGCGAAACCAGGTACAGCGCTCATCACTGTAGCAGCCGCCTCAGATGCGTTCCCCAAGAACATAACGGCACACTTTGCTATCATCGTGGTGTTTCATGGCTGCAACAGTAAAGACTTTTTTAAAAAACAAAAAAAAACTTGGACAGAGAAGCATGGAGAATCACTGTAGAAAGAAAAGGATGATAAAGAAAAATGAAGAACCAGCGACTTGCTTGAATTAAAGTGGCTGTTGCGTGTTTTGCTAAGTGAAACCAAGAGAGCTGCTATTTAATACGAGAGCGTTACTATCTGAAAAAATCAAGAAAGCTGATTTGTGGTATATCTGGAAAGTATTGCGTCCAGGTTTGGCGGAATACATGCCATGCTGGGGAATGGTGTAGTTTGCTAAACGGTGAAGATTATTGCCAAAAATGAGTTTTTACTAACAAAAAAAACACAGAAGCTGATTTGGCGTATATATGGAAAATGTTTTGTCCAGATTTGGTGGATTAAACAACATGTTGGTGAGTGGTGTAGTTTGCTAAAAGGTGAAGATTATTGCCAAAAATGGAGTTTTTACTAACAAAAAAACACAGAAGCTGATTTGGCGTATATATGGAAAATGTTTTGTCCAGATTTGGTGGATTAAACAACATGTTGGTGAGTGGTGTAGTTTGCTAAAAGGTGAAGATTATTGCCAAAAATGGAGTTTTTACTAACAAAAAAACACAGAAGCTGATTTGGCGTATATATGGAAAATGTTTTGTCCGGCTTTGGCAGATTAAACGGCATGTTGGTGAGTGGTGTAGTTTGCTAAACGGTGAAGATTATTTCCACTTATGTCGTCAAATTTCATATCGTACCATTCGATATTGTTCTAAGCCAAAAGGAAGAAGACAAACTCTTGACCCTTAACGCCTAATATGTGAAAATAAAGGCACTGCAAAGTAGTTCGGCCTGGGTACCTTAAACTTTGACAAAGAAAAACAATAGTTGTTGGTAATAAGAAAAATAAAATAATACTAACAAAGTAACATGATTAAATGAAAATAATATTATTTCATAATAAATCTAAATAATATTAATAGTAATATGTTACAAATAGTAAACTATATATTATAAATATTATAAAATTTATAAATTGTATACATATAGGTTATATACTTTTTTTCGGGTCGGCCGCTTTTGTGATGACTCGTCTCCTATAAAGCACGGACACCTCTAGGAGTAGGCGTCTCGCGGTGTCCGACACGCGTCGTGTCCGAAACTTGTATGACACCCATACGACACGTGTCGGAAAAGTCAGACAAGTGTTCACTAAAAAAATAGTTTTTTTCTTTGTTTCGACACTCTTCGAATCAATGGTTGACACCCATACGACACTCATAACACATATGTTTGACAATTCAAACAAGTGTTTTAAGCAAAAATTTGTTTTTTCTTTGCTTCAACACACTTTTATACATGTTTTGGACAAATCTCACACAAATTTAAAATTGTTAACCGTGTATTATTAAAGACATTAATTTTGATTAGAATATTTTCAACATATTTAATCATAATGGATAATTAAAGCTTAAATACTCTCTTATATATAGCGGTGTCAATGTCCTGTGTTTTAACATTATCGGTGTCAGAGTGTCCGTGTCGTGTCCCGGTGTCGTGCCGGAGTCCGTGCTTCATAGCGTCTCCCTCGGCAAACCTGTATGTGGCATACAAGGTGGGTTCTCCCCTCCCTACATTTTTTTCCATACGCAAGAGTCAGAAATCAAACCTTGACCACTTGCTTAAGAGACTTGAAATTTTACTAGTACCAATCCATTTTTGGTATACATTATTTAGATATGATGAAATATAAATATTCATATAGAAGTCATCCCGCTACATGCTATCCCAGTTTTGAGGTCGGCCGCTCCACTATCGGGATTGACTGTCTGCATCTGTTGCTGCACACCAAATCTGTTACCATGTTATCATATGTTGCCTCTGCCTAATCAAATGTTTTTTCGGCTGCACAAGTATGTATGGTTGTGTGGTGGTGAACAATTATATACTTTTTGGTCAAAACTCTCTTGTAACTTATTCCCATGAGAAAAGGGCTGTGATAATCCAGAGTTTGGCCCTGAGGTAAGTAAAGCCGGACGAACAAATGTTTGTTACAAGGTTTTAAGATGCCTTTTAGGTGTCTACTTACTAGGTTAAAGGAGAAGACCAAATCACAGTCCTTAAAGCCCAAACTAATGAAATATCAACTAAAAGGCAACATCATAAAAAAACACGGGCAGATAGTTCGCTAGAAAAATTGTGCAGCGTTCCAATCATACGAGAAATCATTTGAGCAGTTAAAGTTAGTTCCAATCTTACGAGAAATCATTTGAGCAGTTAAAGTTACCCAGGAGTGGTTGAATGAGTTAGAATCTGATTAAAACTTATTTGCCACAATTGTGATTGGCATGAAATATTTGGTCAAAATGTGTTATAGTGATTGTACTCTGCTAAACCTATTCTTGAAAAGTTGAATGTTCCCAAGTTTCTTTTCTAGCTTATTCAAATTCAAGTTATATCTTCTTTTTGAACTTTTATTACTTATGACCATCTACAATTATTTTGAACTTCGTCATTGGCACGTTGGTTTTGACTCCACATTATACATTCTATAAATTGCAGCAAACAACGCAGATCACATGGGAAACTCAGATGTTCTTTCTCGTCTGCTTGGGAACCTCACAAGTTTGACTGGTGCAGTAAACGGAAGGAATATAGCATCATTGTTGGAGGGATCTCAAGATTTAGTAAAAGCTGGTACATCTGGAGCTGCACAAGATGTTCCAAACACAAATTCAATTGATTCTGAACCACCAAGACCTTTTGATTCTTCCCTCAAAATGAGTAACAATCTAATTCATCAGGCCACTCCCGAATCTAGGTTACAGGGTCCGACAGTTCCTTCAAATCATACGGCTCAAAAATGTATACCTTCAAGCAGTGTTGGAGTAGGATGTTTAAAATCTCCTTTAGAACCACAATTCAAAGACATGCTTCCTTCACATGGCAGCCTTCTGCCTCTACCAGTTGCCGTAAAGACTACAGCTGGAAGAAATGGTTTAATTAATATTGACTTGAATAATGTATATGACGACGTGCAGGATTCTATTGAGAACCCGGGAAACTCTTGTCCTCATGTGGCTTCTGGGGTTGAATCTCATGATCATCCTTCATTGGTACAATATGAATCTCTCAAGTCAAGTCCACCACAGACAAGTAGAAATTCAGATTCAACCTCCACCCAGTCACCATCTAGTTCTAGCGGGGAAGGCCAGGTGATTCATGGATCAAATTCTGAGTGTAACTTCATATTCATTTTATGATGGCTACCCGAAGATTTCATCTTTTGACATTATTTATTTACTGTTTTATGTTTTCAGAGTCGAACAGATCGAATTGTTTTCAAACTTTTTGGCAAGGATCCTAATGATTTCCCTGTTGTTCTTCGATCACAGGTATTCTTCCCCTACCTTTTAATTGGTATAAACCACAATTTCACTGAACTTTTTTCTCTATATGTTTGATTAAATATTTCTTTACCAGATCCTTAGCTGGTTATCCCACAGTCCCACAGAGATAGAGAGCTATATAAGGCCAGGGTGTATTATTTTAACTATATGTCTCCGCCTAGAAAATTCGGCATGGGATGAGGTATAATTTGATATAGTACTGTATTTAAATTGCCTAATGGAACCATCAAACATATAAATCAGAATGAGCTTATTACTGTTTCACAATGCAGCTATGCTATAATCTCGGATCTAGCTTGAGAAAGCTTCTAGCTGCATCAAATGATTCACTTTGGCGAACAGGGTTGATATATGCAAGAGTACGGAATTCTGTAGCTATTCTGTATAATGGTTTGTTCCCTCTTACTGTTTGTGTGGCATCCATTCTTCTCATGTGATTGTATTTAAGTTATCATTATAGTTTTCGACTATGTTACTTGGATTAAAATTTATATCTTGTTTATCTCGTGCAGGTCAGGTGGTCTTGGATGCGCCGTTGCGTCTTGGAAGCCTAGAAAGTTGTCAGATTTTGTGCGTGAAGCCCCTTGCTGTTTCTGCGAGTGCAGACGTTAAATTTTCTGTGAAAGGGTTAAACCTTTTCCTGTCTAGTACAAGGTAGTTTCCAAACACCTTATTCGTTTTAAGACTTGAGAGGCAAAAAGCTAAACCTTTCCCTCTTGATTTCAGATTACTCTGCGCACTCGAAGGAAAGTATCTGGTAGAGGATAATTGTTATGATTTGATTGATGGTGCCGAAGCAGCCTCTGGACATCATGAGCTTCAGAATCTCAGCTTCTCTTGTCATATACCAAATATGACTGGAAGAGGGTTTATTGAGGTAACTTACAATATCTATATACTTTCATTTTCTGTGATATTCTTTTAACCAAATAAAATCTGCTTAAATTTTACAAAGTGATTGTTGCTAGTTTTGGAAGTTATATCTTTCTCTCTGATTTGTTAATCTTTACTCAGGTCGAAGATAATAGTCTCAGCAGCTGTTCCTTTCCATTCTTAGTCGCAGAGCCTGAAATTTGTTCGGAGATATGTAATCTGGAAACTGTCATTGAAGCAGCAGAGACTGCTGATGACATCCAGATAAAGGCTAAATTAATGGAAGAAAAGACTCGAGCAATGAATTTCGTACAAGAAATGGGTTGGCTCCTTCATAGAGTTTGTCTGAAATTTAGGCTAGGGCCAGCGGCACCTGTTCAAGATCGCTTTCACTTTAACCGGTACACATGGCTTGTTGGCTTCTCTATGGATCATGATTGGTGTGCTGTGATGAAAAAACTCTTGGACATTATCTTTGAAGGTGAAGTTGATACCGGAGAACATACCTCTGCCGAGCTTGCGTTGTTAAACATGGGTCTTCTACACAAAGCTGTAAAGAGGAATTGCAGGCCTATGGTGGAACTATTTTTAAACTTTGTGCCAATTAAGACGTCAGATGGTGGAGACGGTAAAGAGATGCAAGTCAATAAGTCCCCTGACCGATTCTTGTTTAGACCGGATGCCGTTGGGCCTGCTGGATTGACACCCCTTCATGTTGCAGCATGTATGAATGGTTATGAGACTGTATTGGATGCGTTAACCGATGATCCAGGAATGGTATTTTCTTACGCCTTTACATGTATCATATATCTATAGTTCATATTTTAGCTCTTATATCCATAAAACTAGAGGAAGAGGAAGACAAAGACTAAGAGAAGTTATTAGAAAAATCTCTAAGATTAACAATATGGTCCTAGATCTATGAAGCACGGGCACAGACACGGGCATCGGACACGACACTGACACGTCGACAATAGTAATAATTTGAAAAAACGAATAAATTGAATGTAATCACAATTGTCGGTGTTGTGTTGGTGTTGGTGTCTGACACAGACACGCTTGTTTCATTGGTGTCGGTGCTACATAGTTCTGGACAGAACATTATGACGAAATTGATCCAGCCGACCCCACTTAGTGAGATAAGGCTTGGTTATTGTTGTATATCTGTAGTTCTTGGTGTATATCTGTATATCTGTCCCTATTTTTTCTTTAATTTCTTTTATTACTCACAAGATCTTTTACACTTATCTGTGTCATAATCAGGTTGGAATTGAAGCATGGAAAAGTGCAAAGGACAATACAGGTTTAACACCCAATGACTATGCATCCCTTAAGGGACACTACTCCTACATTCAACTTGTGCAGAGAAAAACAAACAAGAACAACCAAACTCAACATGTGCTGGACATCCCAGGCACCCTTGTAGACGGAAACACGAAGAAGCAATTAGACGGACATAAATCATCAAAAGTTTCAAGTTTCAATACAGAAAATATTACAACAATGGGAAATCATTGTGGTCTCTGCCAACAGAAACTGGCCTACAGCAGCAACGGCGGCATGAGGAGAGCACTTGTCTATAGGCCGGTGATGCTGTCAATGGTTGCGATTGCAGCTGTATGTGTTTGTGTAGCCTTACTATTCAAAAGCTCCCCAAGAGTTTACTATGTCTTCCAGCCTTTCAGCTGGGAATCTTTGGAGTATGGTTCAATGTAATGTTTCTTATGAGAAGTTCCTTGCACTAGGCCTGCATTTTTTTATTTGGAAAAGTGTAAGTCTTTGTTCTTGGATGTACATTGCTTATTGTTTTTGTAGTTATCCAAAAATAATTTTAATTATGCTTTCTATCGAAGGTTCAGAAAATTTTAATTTTAAATTTTCACACACTCTTGCTATTTTTCTTCCAATTTGTCTTGTTGTTTTCTCTCAAAAGTAAAAATTCTCATTTCCTCGTCAAAACATCAAAATAATTCACTTGGTTCAACCATGATATGGTTGTAACATCATAATATCAAAAACCAATAAAAACGATTTCTATACTTGTTAAGAATGATAGAACCATACTAAAGTCGATTCAGATGCAACATATGAGTCAAAAATAGAAAGAAAAAAAAACAAAAGAGTGATCTATGTTAATGGATGATAGCTTATAATTTTAAAAGGATAATGTTTTGTACACATAAATTTTATTTACAAAAACTATGTTAATGTTCTGGAACACATTACTGTTGTAAAAAAAAACATCATATATTGATAGATACACAACAACTCACTGCCAGTAATAGGTCAATAAAAATCTATTAGAGAAAAATTAGGCATATACCATGATCAATTATCAATCTAATATCTAAACATTAACAAGTAAAGATGCAAAAACTTCAAAGCTATAGTCATATCTTGAACAGGAAAAAATCAAGGTTTTTTTTGTGAACATTGTCTTGAGATCATGATAGTACAAATTTACAATACTAAAAGTGCAATAAATCTAAAATTGATTTGTAAATGCGTATCTCTACAAAGTTTATTGATATGTTTAAGTATTTATTTCACTCTGCATGTAATATTAAAAATAGAAAGATTGAGTTGAAGTTAATCTTAAACGTGTGTCTCTAGAAACAAAGAAGAACAAAACATAAGCGATGATACTACTATATATAGACAAGTCATTTTATATCAGTTGGTTAATGAGTTTTACCTCGCTTTGCTGGCTGAGGTAAAGAAGGGTATCATGAAAAATGTGCCACATTTCTCCTCAATTAAAATATTAATTATCCAAAGGAAAAAATTGAGTCATGGATTCGATCTCCAACAATTTCATTTTTGTATTTTCAAAACACACACAACTTTACCTCTCGATTTCTTTATTAACCGAGAGAAAAAATTAATATCTACCTGAATTGGTATTTCCATTTGAGAGATTTTTTTTTTTTTAATTTTACATAATTTTAATTTTGATCTGCTTATATATATATATATATATATATATATATATATATATATATATATATATATATATATATATATATATATATATATATATATATATATATATATATTGTGATAGAACTTATATTTACATGTTGTGACACAACCTATATACACATGTTTTCAACAGGCAAAATAACAACCAAACACCAAATATACACATTTTGGACAGACACTACAAAAAATCATGTTATTACCCATGACCAAAAGCACTCTCTAACTAGAATAATCATTCATGACTTACGGACGCGCATATCATAATTATTAAATTTTTCTCGAAACGAATAATTATTAGTTGTCAATGATCACTTCATAAAAATTTATAATAATTAATAATAGATAAAAAATTGAATATTAAATAAGATAAAACACAGATCATATATACTTACAAATTGAGAAACAATCATAGGTGATAATTTTTTTTCTCTTCAATTAACTTATTTTGTATGTGCATTTCTATATCATTTGATGAATGTTGGACAAATTGAATAAGGAATGTATCCAAGAAACTATACTTTTGTAAATTCATATGTGCACAAAATTGATGCATGTTCCTAAATGATTTTAGGGTTAATGAAGTTTTTGGTCCATCTAAATATTACAACTTTTGTTTTTAATCTCTCTAAAATCTTCCTTCAAGAAATCGTTCCTTCAAAATTTTTCGTCTAAACAGTGGCTAACGTCAAATTTCACTAACAGATGCTTACATGGCATGCCGTGTAGAACTTTTTGATGACAAGACATATGCGCGGCAGTGCCACGTAGAATTTTTTGATGACTAAACATACACGCGGCAGTGTCAACGTGAAAAAAAAATCGAAATAGATGCCCTGTGGCAATTCCTTCCATTTTTTAATTTTTTATATTCATAAATCCAGAATTTATAACTAATTCCTAACTAATCCTAAAAATTGAGACTTTCTATTTCTAAATACTGCATGTCATTCTAAGCATTGGGTCAGTGGGACGTGAGACTATAATGGAAAATTAAAAAGGAAACCTTGTTCATGACTCAAATATTGATAACTTGTTTCTAGAATAAATTAATCAACTTATATTAGGATGAACTTTAAGTCTAGTATGGTTATGGTTGCTAATGCATAAGAAAAGATACGGACTCACGCGAGTATATGTTTCTGAAGGATGTTAAAATTTGCAATCATCTTACATATTAAATAAACAAATAAGTTTGCAATTTTTGATGTGCAAAAATCACTTATGTGGTGCAACTTACAAGAAAAGTGCAATTATAGGGACATTGAATTACTAAGCTTAGAAATGTACAAGTAGAATTTGAGCAGGATAAGGTTAAATGTGCTAATACCAAAAATAAGCTTAAGTCCCTTCTTGGAGTTATGTGGATTGAAAGAAGCTCTATCTCTATTGGACCTACCCATGAGCGGTTTTAAGGCCCAGCCAGGCTGGGCATGTGCCCTGACTCGGTTCCAAAATTTTGTCTTCTTTTATAAAAGAATATGAAAATTGTGGTGGTTAATAAGTTCTGTTATGACGGTTAAAACGGCCACAATTAACGAAAATCAGAAAAATAGTACTTTTGAATAAAGTTTCTCATGTTATAATATATATTAAATAAAAAGAAGGTTTTTTTGTCGTTGATTATGACAGTTTTAACCGTCGTAATTGAAACAATTTTCACAAATAAAACATAATTTTTTTCCCTTTTTTATGCAATTAAATATACATTATATTAATTTTTTTATATGATAATATTTAGATTCAACTACATTACAAAAACTGCAAAATTAAAATAAAGTTGCTATTTATGACCAAATTAACCAAAAACAAAAAATGAATACTTGAAAAAAATAAAATTTAACATAAAAGTAGCGGCTACTAAAATTATAAAAAAAAACATGTATAGTGTTGTAAAAAAGAAGAAGAAAAGAATAAATTTTATCCTCAAATAATATAAAAAATATATTAGGTCCAATTCTTCAATTTATGTTCACTCTAAATTATATGATTCAATTGATGTTAACTAGGAATTCGTATTTTAAATTTAGTTTGTAGTTACAGTAGTTAGTAAATAAAATTATGTTGTTAACTTATTGCTAATTTCAAGAATTATTATGAATCACATGAAATGATATTCCATGTTAGTATCAGCCTCAAATTGGATATGACTATGTTAGTTTTAAAATTCTGCCAAAATTAATTAAATTAAAAAAATTATATTTTGATTAATAACTATTTATATATACAATATGAATTTATTGTCTTTTAAATTTTTGCCCAGACTTCAAAAACTTTCTGGCTCCGCCACTGGACCTACCTGAACCTATTTCATCATCTGATTTGAAACCATAAATGAGCTGGTTTATATATTATTTTCATCATCTAATTATTTATGCATTTTTTGCATTGGAGTTCATTATAAAAACATGAGAAATGAATTACAGTGAAGTGATTTTAATTCCCTAGGCATTGATAATAGATGAATTAATGTTATCAACATAATGATAATGGGGCCAACTAGTTTTCTAAGCTTAAGGTTAATGATACAAGTTATATTTGTTTGTTGACTGCTTGTGAGCCATGTCTATTTTTCACCCAATGGACAATGTATAGCTAGTGCATCTTTTGATAAATCAGTGAAGATATGGAATGGAACTACAAGGGCATTTGTCACCATCTTTTGTGGCCATGTTGGGCTTGTTTACCATATCAGGTATAACACGCGAGATTCAATCTTATTTCAAACTTCTTGCCGAAGATATTCATCGAAAAATGAAATTAATTAACTATAGTTGACTTTTATAAAGCTGGTCTGCTGACAATAGACTTCTTTTAAGAAGAAGCAAAAATTCTACTGAAAATTCTTTGTTCAGAATTAGCTCAGAATTATGGGTTTATGAATATAAAAAATAAAAATGAAAGAAATTGTCATGTTCCATCTACGTCAGATTTTTTCTACATTGGCTCTGCCACGCGTATGCCTAGTCATAAAAAAGTTCCACGTGGCATGCCACGTAAGCATCCATTAGTGGCATTTGACGTTAGGGACTAATTGTTTCAATAAAAATTTTTGAAGGAACGATTTCTTGAAGGAAAATTTTAGAGAGACTAAAAACCAAATTTGTAATATCTAGAGGGACCAAAATCTTCATTAACCCATGATTTTAACACAAGAAGTTGACATTAATTAAAAGTAAATTATACCAATGAATATAATTTGAAATCACCATAAAAATGGTACGTGCACCATAATTGAAGTACGATTAAGTCAAGCCAAACAACATCCTCCACAATTTCCTTAATGCAACCCTTTTCAATATAAATTTTTTGTTCTAGATCATGTTTCAATTATCTGGAAGGACTCTCCAAGATACTTTATCATACTTGTCAATCATTGCAATGAATCTAGTAGAAGATTCGGGGTCTCAATCTTGTGAAAGGGGACTAAAGCTGAACAACTACCTTTCATACTTGCGGTATCCAAAATAGCTTTCTCATATATGTCTAATTGATTTTAATTTGGATAAGCGAGTATAACCATCCATTTCAATTACGGCACCATAAAAAACAATAGCATAATAAGTAAATTTAAAAACACTAACAACAACACTAAACACATAGTTTTTAATCGACAAACAAAAAATGAAAGTTCCTAAATCAAACTTGTATTTACCTCAATCAAATCTCAAGCCACACTTTCCCGCATCTTCTGGGTCACACTCTCTCATGCATCCTTGGTTACTCTTTCCTGCACC